TAATAATAATTTCATCTGTGTATTTAGCAGTTTACCAGAACTTTACATTACTTTAAAAAATACTCTCCTAATTTTCCTGAGATGACCCATAACTGATAGTTTTATAACAATTCCACTACTCAGTCATTTTAAAAATAACTTTTGTTGAAGAAAGCATAAAACAAGTGACCTGCAGGCTTGACAGAATAAAATCCAATAGCTTCTCCCTCGTTCCACAGAATCTTGGCATAATCAGAGCTGCTGTGACAGAGAAAGGGGACCTCGTCTCGCGCCATCTCCTTCTTTCTATAAATAATTCGGTTCAACACATAAAGAACTACTCTTTCTCCAAGAGTCCGGACCTGCAAACAGAAGAGATGGAAAGATTTACAGGGTTATTCACAAAAGGGTGACGAGTTTGGAGAAGGCAGGAGAAGTGAACAATCTAGGACAACAAAGCAGAACTGGAAAGGGAACTGAATTGGAGAATTTTTTCCAAATCAGCTATGTTGGCCTGGATTGTTAACTTTTCCTGCCTTCTCCAAACTCTTCACCCTTTTGTGTGTAGCCCTGTAAATCTCATCTGAATACTGTACTCCATTACCTGCAAGTATTTAACAAGGAATCATGGTATATTTGCTATGTTGTAGTGCAGCATTTTCTTTAAATAAAGAATTCAACTGTTTACTCAATAAGAAGAATGAATGTTCTGATTTAAAAAGCATCCGTGTGAAAAATCAATCAGGTAACTGCTAATACAGACCAGAACTACTGCACCTGTGCTAAAGAAAAAAATTTAGAGCTTCCATTTAATAAGCAGGCCATGTCTTTGAGTCAGTTTACATGCTAACTTTTCATGTTTGATTAGAGCACACTTTTAAAGATTTTGCTGGATTATTTATCCATGTTTAACTTTGTATTAAGGCGCAGAGGTGCTTTAAAGGCATGTAATGTAAAGGAACTTTACATTTTTCAATTTGTAGCTACCTCACCAAAGGCTTCCAATCTGGCCTGCAACCAGCAACAGCTCTAGAATTGTGCAATGGCAGACTTCAGTGCAGGTTATTTGCCCTCATGTGAAGCTACATAGTCTAGTATACAGGGAACCTGCCTTTGTGCCGGTTCTTACACCCCTGTGATGGGCACCCAAAACACTTGCCAGATAGCCAGGAAGTGATAAATGTGCCCTATCCTGTGAGGTAACCCTTATCTGGTTTTCAACACTCCTAGATCCACAACTAAGGGCCCATCATGACATTAAACCCATGTGACATATTGCTTCATAACTGTTTCCAAAAAACACCTGCACTCCTTACGGTCTGCAACCTTCCAATGGTGGTGGTGCTCTGGTGATCACACGGATGGCGCCGTGCAAAACTCAGAATAGTCTCAACAGGTCACCGGCACACACACACACAGATGAATTCAATATCTCTTAACCTCCCTGGCGGTATGATTATGGAGGATTTTAGCATGCCAAAGCGGTACATTGTTTTTCATGGCAATTTGATGAAGGGTCCCTGCGAGGTCCCGAAACGCTAGCTTCAGCTTCTAATGACATGTCGTGACATTCTTCAATAAACATATCTAAGAGATATTGAATTCATCTGTGTGTGTGTGAGACCTGTTGAGACTATATTGCTTCATAAGACGCCATGCCTACATTCAGAGGACCAGTGCACCAATCAATCTATCTAATGCTGTGCTCCCTAACTACTTTTATATGCACCATGGAGCACATATTTATTTCTATCTAAACTATACCATAATTTAGGTTGAGTTGAGGCCCTTGTTATTAGGTGAATACTACTAAAACCATTAACCTCAGAGTATGCTTGTTTGTTCTTGAACCAGGTATCTGATGAAGGGGGCGTGACCCTGGAAACGCGTCATCACACATCACACAGTCTCCTCTGCTGACACATATACACGGCTGTGCAGCTTTCATAGACTTTTCCTTGGGTCCGTGGACTTAATTTTTACAGATAAACGCTGATCCCTAAAAAGATGTGTTTTTTTTTAAGAGTGTTTGAGGTAATGCCATAACTTCCAACCCAATTAATCCCCCTATCCGGTGAATTCCCTGAAAGAACAATAGGTTACATGGATATTTTAACTACCGTCCATAGCTGTTCAAGCACTATTCAAGCCTTTACCTGCTGTAGGCCATCCCGGGATGGTTTGGACGTCCTTACTGTATCATCAACTGTCCACCACTGATGAGCAAGGTACAGAGCCACAGCTATGGAAGAATAGTAACATTTAGAAACCAGAAATTCTAAACTGGCAAAGACTTGCATAATAAAACTGCACACACTTAGCCATAAATAAATAGCCTTACAATTTACTTGTGCATAAATTCAGCTTCAATAAATAGCAAACCCTTGCCTTCCATTGCTCAGTGGAATGACAAGGACAGTCCCCCTACTCCTTCATGTCCAGCACAAACCCATAAACTATGATTACATCTACTCTGTGGATTAGGTCCAATTATAAAGATTATAGAGAGCCATACATCTGAATTCTTGGGCAACAATAACCATCTCACCTTCAGTAGCACTGCTTCCAGAATCTAAAATTACAGATCTGGGCCCTAGTAAAACAGCTAGATTTTTTATATTATGGTACATAATAAAAGGAGTTTAAAAGGGTAAAAAAAACAAAACAATATAAATTCAATCCAGAATAAACTATTTCAAATTGGCAAAAGCACTTGATGCTTACAATAATTTATTACTGAATGAAACAATAAAAACATTGATGGAATCCTTATTATTTCACTATTATGTTACTACCGGTAGTGTGGTGGCCATATCATACCTGTCAGTGTATCTTCAGGTGCAAACAGAGCCAGGACTTTTTGTGCCTGGTGTCCTCCATAGAGAGGCACGTACCCTACTGTAGAAAGGCATATTGGCAACTGGAAGGAAAAAAGGCCAATAACTTAAAGTATTCAATACAGTGTATTAGATGTGAGGGACACTTCCCTTAATTTCAGATAACTGATGAGGTATGGAGTTAATTTTGATTATATAGACTGCATCAGCTATACCAGGTTTTATCAACATTTCACTTTTGTGAAATGTGATAGCTAAAGAATAATTACCTCTCGTCCATCTCGCAGGCTTAAGTACTCCGGGTTATCAGGATCAGCACACCTCAAGTATGACAAATAATCTTCCGACAAACTCTCCAGTTCATCATGGCTGCAGTTATCCAACATATCAACAGGGAAGGCCATGCCTGAAACAATAGAAAAGAACAGAGAATTAAATTTGATTTGGGGTCCATGAAATCCCGCATATCAATCAGCAAGAGAGGGTAGGGTTGTGAGCTTTCCATTAACTCAAAATCTGATAAGTACTAGTTCTTAAAGACCAATTGAACTTTTTGCTTATATCAGCTAAACACATTCCATATGCATCAAAACAAATGTTGTGCAGAGTCTTACAGTTTCTTTTCTTTAGAAAGCAGCCACATCCTTAGTAGAAAAGCCTGTCCCCTGTCAGCATACTGTAGAAAAAGGCCTTGGCTCTCTGTGTGGAATCAGGGGTCTCTCTACAGGGGTCTGACACACCTCCTGTTCAGTCAAACTACATGTTTCCAATTAGCAAAGCTCATGCTTACTACTGATTAAAGAGCTTGAGCTCTGACTCAGTAGGAGGTGTGTCGGATCTCTGCAGAGAGACCAATGTTTCTATACAGAGAGCAAGGGTTCCCTCTCTACAGCATGCTGCCAGAAGACTTTTCTACTTAGGATGTGGCAAAATATATTGAGAACATTTGTCTTTGGCATTGTTCGCCCAAAACAACGTTGACAGATGTTAGCAGGGGGAATTGTTTACAAATAGACCCCACAGTGTGTAGGCAGGCTGGATCCACTTTGCGCTGAAAAAAGCAAAATGATAGGTTTTGAGCAAGATCAGGATGAATGTTCTAAATGCGTATATAAAGGTAAAACTTTTTTTTTTTTTTTTTACATCTGCTACTATTAGACCCTTTGTGTGGTCATAGGTCTAATAGATACATCAGCTAAAATTTCATTTCACTAGTAAAATGCCTGCTCATATATGGCATATAATCAGCAGCATCCTGATCAGTGTAAGAATAAGGTGTGCACTATTCCCTGCTTCGGAGCTGTTATACCTGTATATCTCTCTGCTATGGTGGTTGAGTGTTTTCTGTGTCCTCTGATCTGTCAGTTCATATGTATGTCACGGCATCTGTGTCCCTTGCCTGTGCGCTCCCATAGGCCAGCAGTGATTCTGCCTGGGTGAGCAAGCTCTATAAAGCCTTGAGCAAATGCACTCATTAAAACGCTCATGCAGAACGGATATTGAAGTGGAAAAGAATGTCCAAATAAAACAAAAATGTGCCCTGCGCGCCTGCCTAGAAATATGAAATACAAACTCCATCCAAGCCGAGTGCAGGCATTGAAAACACAATTCCAGCAAAGACTGGGGGACAACCTGTCACCACTATATAAATGGATGAGATGTGATTGCCACTAAGGCTCATAAACTGCAGATAGTGTCAGCAAAATCTTTTAACACTACGAATGGTAGGCAAAGGAGAACTTTAAAGGAGAACTATGGGGTCAGGGCTTTTCCCCATAGTTCTCCTTCGGGTAACGGGAGGACACAAACTAGCGTCCTAACGTCACCCAAAGCTCAGTATACCGCGAGCTACAGCTCGTGGTCTACTGAAACGCCGCAGCCGGAACGGATCCCGACACTTATGTCTGGATCCACCCAGCTGCGTGAGTGACAGCTGGCTCTGCCTATCTAGAGGCAGAGCCAGCTGTACTCGCCCCCTCCCCCGTCCGTTCTGCCAGTCAGCGCTGGAGGATCGGACAGTGGAGGGGAAATCCAGCCTCTCCCCTGTCACGGCTCTCTGCCGGCACAGGATCGAGAAGTGAAGGGTGCGCTGGTATGTGTTCGCTCACTTCCCGATCTACTGAGCTGACCTGTGACAGTTTCATTGACACAGGTCGGCTCAGATTATGAGGCTGAGTGAAAATCACTCACCTCATAATTCTCCTTTAAGCAAACATTATCGGTGATCTTATAGCTGAACTTTAGAGAGCTAAAAATACACCAGCTAATGCAGTTATGTATCCATGAAACCATCATACATTAAAATGCAGCTAGGGAAAGCAACTCAACCTGTCTTGTAATCCTCTATAGAGCAAGACTAGGAACCACTAAGATGTGCTGTATGCACATTGGCTGGCAAAGAACATGTTGAGAGGAGGAAAGAGCAGATGGTTGGCTCATCAGTATTCTGTTACTCCTTCAATATCCAATCACAGACTGAGGGGAGGGAGGTGACCTAGCTGTGTTGCTTAACTGCAGAAAAACTGTATTCATTATTGATATTTATATAGTGCCAACAATTTACGCAGCTTTACACACTGCACATTCACTTCAGTCAAGGAGCTTACAATCCAAGGTTCCTATCTCACATGCACACAGGGCCACTTAACCTTCCAGCATGTCTTTGCAGAGTGGAAGGAAACTCACACAAGCACAGGGAGAAAATGCAAACTCCTTGCAGATTATGCAATTATAAAGGTCCACTTTGAGTAATTTTCAGGCCTAAAATAGGCATTTTGTGTGTGTGTTGGGGGGGCACAGACACGTAAAAGCAGCTGTGGCAGATAAAGGGTTAAATCTACTTTGTTATGCATTTAGGCATTTAGTGTTTGGACCGTCATGGTAATTGTGTTTGATGGTAATATGTTTCACACTGCAACTTTCACGTTACCAAATCTATTCAAAGTCACTACACGTGTGTAGTGACTTTGTGTGACATATATGTATAGAACGTCCGTATTTTACTCCTACAACTTGTGTGCCGTCAACATTTCCGGACTTAATCTGATGGCACACAGCGTAATCCTGTTTATCCGTATCAAGTCAACAGGCATCCCCTGACCTACATTGCTATGGCAGGATTCTGTGAGAGAGCAGATTTCACTAAACCTAGATCACTAGAACAGCCTAGAGGAGGAATGTTTTCATGGTGAAACCTCATTTCTCAAAGTGTCTGAAAGTGGAATTACCTCTTGTAGCAGCCAATCAGATTCCATTCCAAACAAAAATGCGCCTGGATGCCGCAGAGCAGTGCAGACCATTCAATGCTCATAGAGTTTAACTGCCTGTAGCAATCAGATTATTTATTCAATTTTCAGACAGAACTTGGAAATCACTGTTTAAATCTTTCGGCGCCCAGGGCGGTTTTTTCACACACGTTATAATCCAAATTTTATGCCTGAAAATTACGTAAAACCTCGGAAATATTGTATATATTCTGAAAGCAAAGACCCTATAGAATAAAATGGTGGCAGTTGCAAATGTTTATAATATTAGTGCAACTCTTTATCAAAGCCAAAAATGTAATAAAAAAAATTTAAAAAATATAAAAGAGGCTACAACATGCCCAGGTTAAAAATTGCGTGCGTCTGTGAAACAACGACAAAATACGATATCCCAAAATGTCCATAGGTGATGCTTTAAAAACCCGTACAGGTCATCAGTTTAGAGATATCCATGAATATTGGCCCAAGAATTACTGTTCTCACTGTGGCACACACAGCGATACCTAACATGTGTAGCAAAATCATCGTTTTTGTACGTAGACATACCCAACGCGTGTTTATGTTAGTATGCCCGCGCTCGCGAGGGAGGGGGATTTTAACTTTTTTATTTTTACTTCGTTTTATTTTTTTTCTTAACTTAATTGCTAACATAATAGGGGGCTCACAAGCCCCCTATATAATAGCATACTAGGGGTGACAGGTGCTCTTTAATGTGACATAATGGATCTATTAGACCCCTAGTGTCTCCTGTCCACTCCATAGAAGATACCTGAGTGCAGATCGCGCTCCAATAGCTACATCCCCAGCTTCTGCAGCTGGGGGAATGACAGCTGAGGAGCCATAAGCGATGCAATCACCGTCGCTTCCGGTATCATTCAGCGGGGAGGAGATTGGCACAGCGATGTTTACTGATCTCCTTCCCCACTTCCTGCCGACACCTGTGTTGCCCGCAGGAGGGGCAGCAGAGCCCAGGAATCAAGGCAGGGGGTGTTGGGGGGGGGCATAACACCAGCCCCTGGAAGCTATCTGGTGGCAGCTCAGCCACCAGGATCACTTCCAGTGTAAAGCCGACATTTGGCTTTACACATGTAATGTGACAGCCACTGGGAGTCTGTTTAAAGGGGTCGAAGTATGCCATAGCTAGGGGGGAAAAAATGTTTAGAAGACTGGAGAAGCTTTTAAACTAGATTATGGGGTAGGGAAAGGAAATGGGCGTGACATTCAGAGAGTAGGGATTAAGAGGCCCACTTACTATAGAGGGGAAGAATTGACGGGGGACAGGAGGCCGGATCCATTCAGTAGTGAGTTAACCTTATCAATGTCCAATATCCAATATAGTAGATCAGGGGGAGGATAGTTGTGATTCAGAAATGAGCAATAAAGGACTGCATAACACTAGCACTAGGTTAAATGGTATGTATACGAATGCTAGAAGTCTAACTAACAAACTAGAGGACATTATACGGTACTTCTATTACTCGAGAAGGACTTTGACTTGTGGGAGTAACAGAAACGTGTCTGGACAGCTCGCATGGCTAGGCAGTTAACATATGTGGGTACAATATGTTTCGCAGGGACCGGGTTGGTAGAAGGGGAGGAAGGGTATGCATGTATGTGAATAGAAATCTGCAAGTGCACATGCCTAAAAAGCATCGCTGATGGAAATGGAGTCCCTGTGACTAGAACTAAATAAGACTAAGGTTAATAGTAAACTGATTGATATAGACATAATGGAGGATGAGGAGACTCAGCTCCTCTCACAGATAGAATTGGCCGGGAAAGAGGGTAACGTTATTATAATGGGGGACTTCAATTTTCCAGACATTGATTGGCCAAAAGAAACTGCACACTCAACCAAATGCCGTTTCCTGAACTTATTGAGGGACAGTTTCACAGAGCAGATGGTAGAAGTCCCAACTAGGATAAATGCAATATTAGATCTAATAATATCAAATAATACAGAGCTGGTTGCAGACAGAGCAACTCTGGAAAACCTGGGTAACAGGGCGATCAGGTTCACAAAAGGTTACAGAAAAGGCAGGTTGGTTTGAGAAGAACAGTAAACTTCAAAAAGGTTAACTTCAAGGCTGCGATCCTTAATACATGCTAAGTGGACTTGTTTTAAGGCTATACTAAACAATAG